GAATGCTCACAAGAGGATTCTTCTAGACCCGGCCTCATCTCTTAATTCTTTTTTTTTTTTTTTTTTTCAGTTGTGATCTGGGTGAAAGTTACCTCATGTCTAATTCATTGGTTAAGCTAAGGGCCTCAGTTTCTCTCAAAACCAGATGATAAGATCCTTCCCTACTTAAGTATTCTCTATTTCCAGGGACAGGTTTAGGGTTTGACCAGGATACAGGGGCAGCGATGGGAGCCGGCTAGGGTAAGCAAATAGAAGCAGGTACCGCGGTGCAAGCTCCTCAAGACTGCCGCCACCTTCCCCCTTGCCGCAGGTCTACCATGAGCGAGTGAATACGCACGTGGCTGAGGCCGAGTTCGACTACGCGCGTTGCGGCGTCCGCGACGTGTCCAAGGCGCTGGTGGGGCTGGAGGGCGCGCCGGCCACGAGGCTGCGCTTCACCAAGTGCTTCAGCTTCGCCAGCGTGGAGGCCGAGAACGCCTATCTGTGCCAGCGCGCACGCTTCTTCGCTGAGAATGAGGGCCTGGACGACTACATGGAGGCGCGGGAAGGCATGCACCTGAAGAACGTAGACTTCCGGGAGTTCATGGTGGCCTTCCCGGACCCAGCCAGGCCTCCGTGGTACGCCTGCTCGTCCGCCTTCTGGGCCGCGGCGCTACTCACGCTGTCGTGGCCCTTGCGCGTGTTGGCAGAGTACCGAACGGCCTACGCGCACTACCACGTGGAGAAGCTCTTCGGCCTAGAGGGCCCGGGCTCCGCTAGCAGCGCCGGCGGTGGCCTGAGCCCCAGCGACGAGCTGCTGCCCCCACTCACCCACCGCCTGCCGCGGGTCAACACGGTGGACAGCACGGAGCTCGAGTGGCACATCCGCTCCAACCAGCAGCTGGTGCCCAGCTACTCGGAGGCGGTGCTTATGGACCTGGCGGGGCTGGGGGCGCGCTGCGCGGGGAGCGCGGGGGGCGGCTACGCGCCCACATGCCGCTATGGCGGGGTGGGCGGCCCGGGCGCGGCGGGCGTAGCCCCGTACCGCCGCAGCTGCGAACACTGCCAGCGCGCGGTCAGCAGCTCGTCTATCTTCTCACGCAGCGCCCTGAGTATCTGTGCAAGCCCGCGGGCCGGCTTAGGGCCCGGCGGGGGCGCGGGCTGCGGAGGCAGCCGCTTTTCGCTCGGCCGCCTCTACGGCTCTCGGCGCAGCTGCCTGTGGCGCAGCCGGAGCGGGAGCGTCAATGAGGCGAGCTGCCCCACGGAGCAGACACAGCTGTCGAGTCAGGCCAGCATGGGGGACGACGAGGACGACGACGAGGAGGAGGCTGGGCCGCCACCGCCCTACCACGACGCCCTCTACTTCCCTGTCCTCATCGTTCACCGGCAGGAGGGGTGTCTGGGGCACAGTCACCGGCCACTACACCGCCATGGCTCCTGCGTAGAGACTTCACTGTGACCTCCAGCCCCCCCCCCAGAGGCCTGCGCTGCCCTCCCTCCTGACCCTCGCCAGACTGTGCCCTCTGCGTGTAGCAGGGGGAGTCATGATGGCTGACTGAGGCAGTGCTGGGCGGGGTGGGGTGGGGAGGTGGCGGGGGAGGAGGTGAGGTTCACCGGACAGACCAAGATGAAACCCGGACCTGGACCCCTGCCGCCTTGCCTGTGCGAAGACAGATGGGTGGGATTCCTTAGAATTCCATTCTAGCAACAGTTGCCTCTTCCAGCCCCACCCCTGAGTTCCTAAGGGAACAACACCTTCCCTTCTAATGCACACTCGAGGTTTCCTGTCCAGCCTTTCAACGGATCTTCCGACTGTTATGTGGCGCCTGTGCTGTGGGACCAGCGGTGGGCCTCATCTCAAGTGGGAGACTCGCTATGCAGCTGGAGATGTAGAGGCTGTGGAGAAGGGGAATTGGGGCTTTCCTTCCTATTACCTAACCCCACTGGGGCCTCTCTCAGTTAAGGGAGTGGTGGTCTAGTGAACAGCAGAGCTGGCTTAGAGCAAGCTATGAATTCAGTGGGTCTGAGAGGTCTGGGACCGGATGTCAGCCCCAACACGCCACTCCAACTTCATGGAAATGTTCTCTTCTTGGCGCTGGCCCAAGGTACCAAGGGGTTTCCTCTGTGCCACTCCCTGCACTGTTGTTTATCTCACTCTGCCCCAGGAGACCCTGGTCCTGGAGGGACTGTGCTCACCACACAGAGGGAACTCACCTCCTGCTACCTGGCTTTGAAGAGCTGTTGCCAGGGGGAGGGAGGAGGAATGAGGTGAATTGTTCCTGTCTCTAAACTCAGCAACCTCTCCTGAAGCAGCCTCTTCACCTGGATTCTGACTGAGTACTCCCTTCAGAAGGGGTGAGGTACCATGCCGGTAACATCCCGTAAAGCTAGCCAGGGAGTATGAATGAGAGGGCAGAGCATGAGAAAGACCTGGGTAGTGACAGGGGAACTCTGGAAGCAGGTAGGAGTAAAAGGGGGGGACCAATGGGAGAGGGCAATAAGGAGGGGGAGTATAAAGACCTTTAAAGATGGAGTGGTCTTGGGGGGAGGCTGCACTTCTCCCCCTCTGTGTAAAGGAGTAGAGAGTGGTTGCCCCACCCACAGGGCTCTGCAAGGCTGGGGGCACTGTCATTTCATAAGCCCCAACTGGAGAAATACTCAATTGCAGTGGCAGGGTCATAGGCAGGAATTCTTGAAATCTTGCCCCACTCTTCCATCCTCTTCCCCTTGTCCTACCTAATGAGCTGAAGCCCTCTCTGCTAGGTGTCCTATGGTCTTCAAAGGGACATCTTGCCCTCATCCTTGGGCACTGGTCCCAGATCCTGTTTTCCCAAAGTTCTGAAGCCACCTTTTCTCCCTGTGTCCTCTTCTCCCCCATGTCCTTCAGTGTGCATGTGTCTGTGCCACCCTCTTGCCCGTCCCCCACAATCCTCTGGCTAAAGTTTTCCCAGCAGATTTAGCACCCAGGGATTAAGCTCATATTTCAAGCTGAGAGGGTAACCCTTGGGCCACCAGGGCATTGCTCATCCCATGCTTTTCACATCGTCTGAGCCATCAGAGTCCCTCCTTCCCTCCAGCCATTCCCATCTTCCTCCAGCCCAGCCAGGTCTGCTCCTTCTGATGGGCGATGGGCGTGGCCTCCACCTATGCAACATCTCTGGCTCCCCTTCCTCCTTCCCAGGGAGGTGGTGGGGGAGGCACAAATTGTGGGGACACTGTGGACCTGTAGCTATTGGGGGTTAAGATTTACTTTCATGTGGAGATGGTTGAGTTGAGAAGGGAGGGGAAGCCAGAGAAGGGGAGCCTCTAGCAGAGGGCACAACTGTCCACCAGGTTTCCCTGGCAGCAGTGTCCACCTGCTAGCCAGTACTGGCCTGCCTGGACCTGAGCCTGTGCTCTTAGAGCCCCTGGCAGTTGGAGCGCCCCTCTTTCCTCTGAATGGACACCTGTGAGGCACAGGTGGTGAGCCGCGGCCTCAGGCCCCGGTTCTAGGCCAGCTGGCACTTGGATGTCATGTTCTCCTGTAGGGGCAGCATGGCCATGTCAAGGCTCCAAGAAGGGAGGAACTTGGCTCCACTTCCCTCAGGCTTGTTCCTGAGACAGAGCCTGGGCTAGGAGGAGGGAAGGAGGGTCCCCAATTATTTATGCCTGTATTGACCATTTCTGCCTAGGTCTTATCACACAGACAGCCTCACCTCCCACACACGCACAGACTTAGAGAGAAACCAATTCTTGGGTCTGTTTTCTTGGTAGCTTTATTGATTGCCAGGGAAAACTAAAACCAGAAAATTAATTAATCTCTAAAATTAAACTTTACACTGAATGTTCTTGTTTCTCTAATTAGGACCTCTGCTAGCAGCTGTGGCTACACACACACACACACACACACACACACACACACGTTTGCACTCCGGAACTGTCAGAGGGAGTCAGGCATAGACAGTCAGACTCTAGGTTGCCTGGACAGGTACACACATGCAGTCACGCCCAAGCCCCCTTTGGTGCTCTGCTTGGTGCCTGCTTGTTGGAAGAGTCCCCAGGTGGCAGGCACTCCCAGGCTGTGGTTGCAGCCTATGACCCACCCTTCGGGAACATAGGCCTGGAAGCTCTGGGCTCCTCAGCCCAAAGAGGATGGGGGATGGGGCTCAGCCCAATCCATCAGTTAGGTCCTCATGTGGCCACTGGGAGTTTATGGAACTCTTGTGTGGCCCAGGGTGGGAAGTTGTGCTGGCAGCTACAAGGTGATGGGGACTAATGGAGGGCACCTGGAAGGCTCCATGTGTCCTGGGGACAAGGGCTTATGGGGTGGGCTGGGCCTGGCTAGGGAGGAGACAGGTCTCTGTCAATTGGGTGCATCACACTGTGGCCTTTCTGTCGTGGATTTCCAAGCGCAAAGATTGTATAAATCAAACTGGTGAATAATAAAGTTGTGGATGACTCACTCCCCAATGTGGCATTGACTCCCCCCTTCCCCACTCTCTGGGGTAGAAAGCTCTGGGGTAGCCTGAGGGTTGTGTGTGTGTGTGTGTGTGTGTTTGAAGGTTAAGAGGCCCATGATTTGTTCAATAGAGAGGACATGGTGGAGAGGGAGGTCAGGGAGAATGGGCAGTCCTCATTGGAGAGATGGGTCATGTGCAGTCCCTCAGAGCCCTCCCTGTTGTCAGTCACTATTCCTAAAAGAAGTTGGTCATTTCTGGGAGCCCAGTTCTGCCCTTCCAGGGCACAGGGATGGGGTCACCACTTCATAGCCCAGGCCCTCTCCCTCTCCTCACATCTTTACCCACCCAACTCTTGATTACTTACTCCAAGCAAGTATCTTTACCCCAAACGACCAGGGATATTCACAGTCTCTTCCCTCTTCCCTTCTCCCTCCCTTTGGAGCAGTGTGAAGGTCTGCAGCTGGTGTGTGTGTGTGTGTTGTGTGTGTGTGTTTGTGTTGTGTGTGTGTGTGTGTGTAGTAGGGAAAGGGGTTATAAATGAGGGCTGGGGCAGTATCTTCAGCCCTGTTCCTGCCTCATCCCTTATCCTGCAGGGTTCTCAGGGCCAGTGATGGTAGGCGACATGAGGTGGCTAAGATTCAAGGCCTGCTGACGGGCTGCTTCATGGTTGGCTTGGAGAGCCTGGCCGATGAGGTACTCACTCTCCTGGGCCACATCTGACAAGCGCAAGTCAAACTCCAGGAGAGTCTTGTTGTCCGACATCCCTTCCAGGAGCTGCTTCCCGCCATCCTGGTAGAAGAGAAGGAATGGAAGGGAAGGGATCATTTTACATCACTACCTGGTTCATATATACATGTATGTGTGTGTACACAAACTCACACACATTGATATGTAGATATGACTGAGGCAAAATTTCACAAAACAATATTTAACCTATTTATGTATTACACTTACATTATCCCATCCTATCCCATCTCTTTTGGAAAATGGTAGCCAAGACTCATTCAACTGATTTATCAACCCCTCACAAAAGACTGGAAAAGTATGGATCTATGGCAATGATGGTAATTCCACTTCTCTTGACTGGTTTAGTGACGGGCATGTGAAACAAATCTGGTTACTAATATTTGAGTAGGAGCTCTGGTAGCATAGTGGCTACAGCACTTGACTGCTAACCAGAAGGCTGGCGGTTCAAACCCACCAGCCACTCCTCGGAAGGAAGGTTGGGCAATCCTACTTCCGTAGTGATACTGCCTCGGAAGCCCAAGGAGGGGTCGCTATGAGTCGGGGCCGACTTGACAGCACATAACAACAACAACAACAATATTTGAGAGGGCAGACTGGAGGGGTGACTTCTGAGAAAGTTATCCTCACTCTGGACAAAGGAATGGAACAGAGGAGTGTTTTCTTTTTCTGCCTTTGGGCATGTCTTCTATGTGAGTACTGTGGGAACCATGTTGGGAGTGTGTGAAGAGCACCAGAGAAGCCAAGGCCATGTGGCTGATGTGGCAGGGCAAAGGGATGGCATGAGCCATAGAATTTACCAACCTCAGGACCCCCTACCCTGAAGCTTCTGGTTATAGGAGGTAATGAGCATTCCTAGTTGAATATTCTATTACTTGTAGCCAAGGGTATCCCATCTGGAGATGGTGTGTACACATGAGCAAGGCTGTTGCCATAGGTGAGGTGTAGTACAAGGTAAAGGGAGCTAATTGGAGATAGAGGGAGGGCCCTCATCACTAACCCCCAGAGTTCCAGTTTCTTCTGGGTTGGGTGGGCAAGGCCCAATGTGAAAAAAAAAAAAAAAAAAAAACAATGTTAGGAGGCAGGGTGCTGCTTTGCTATGGTTATGACCCAATAGTGGGTTGTGAAATCAATTTAATGGGTACAATAGCATTTTAAAAAGTGAAATGGAGAATATAAAGGCATATATATAAAACATCAGCAAATATCATAAGCAGTAAGTTTCATTTATATTTTATTTATGCATTATGTTCACTAGGTTGTCATATAAATTGCATTTCTTACTCCAAGGCTTGGTCAGGAAAGTTTGAAACACACTGTCTATTGGAAGGGAGCTAGCTTTTAACCGATCCTAAGTTTGAACCATAACTCTGCCACTTTGTATTGACAGGATGCTCTTGGGCAACTCATTGACTTCTCTGAAGCTCAGTTTTCCATTCATAAAGTATAGTTAATAATATGCATCTTACTAGATAACTATGTGGAGTAACAGAAAAATAATGGATATTGGGTATCTAGCTTAGTATGTCATCCTGAGTTACAATAACAGCACATAATTACTGAAGACTCACCCAGTGCCCTGCAATGGTTGCTTTAAAAATATGACTCATTGAATCCTCCCAATAATGACACTTAAAAGGAAGAGAGATTATTACTCTCCCCATTTGTGATGGTTTTCAGTTGCCATCAAGTTGGCTCTGACTCATGGTGACCTTATGTAGAACAGAATGAAACATTGCCTGGTTTTGTGCCATCCTTACAATTGTTGGTATGTTTGAGCCCATTGCTGTAGCTATTATCCTCATTTTACAGATGAGGAATGGAGGTCCAGAGAGGTTAAGTAATTTACTCAAGAGTGAAATGGCAGAGCTGGAATTGGAACTAGGCAAAGTCTATACACTTAACCATTATCCTACAAATACCCCATGGCAATTGGATGGCACTAACCATCCCCCAAAGGCCTCAAGGCAGCTTGTTGGCCCTGTCTGCCCTAGAAATGGTAGCTCACCTGGCCGATGTGGTTGCAGGACAGGTTGATGCTGGTGAGCACAGTGTTGACAGACAGCACCTGGGAGAGGAGCGTAGCGGTGGGCTCGGATAGCTCATTGCCACCAAGGTGCAGTGTGGTGAGGCACTTGTTGGTCTGCAGGGCATGGGCCAGTGCCTGGCCGCCCTCATCCTCAATGCAGTTGAGGCGTAAGTTGAGCGTAATGAGGTTGGTGTTGTGTGCCAAGGCATGAGCCAGCGACTGAGCACCTGGCGCACGCACCTGGTTGTTGGCTAGGTTGAGTACACGCAAGCGGCTGTGGCTCAGCAGTTTGGCGGCGGCACGTGCACCACGATCTCCGATAAGGTTGTGTGACAGATCCAACTCTTCAAGCGCTGGGTGGTCCAGGAGGCTGCGAATCAGGATGCGTACCTTGTCATCATCCACCCTGCTTCGGGTCAGCCTGAAGACCTGCAGGCAGATAGAGAGTCTGCAGGACCCACCAGCTGGGGGAGGATCTGCCTACCCACCTGCAGAATGCAGGTGAAGGAGGGAACCACACAAAGGCTTGAGAATTGGCATGCCTGGTGTTGGTCGCCTGTCTGACTCTTGGGCTTGGTAGGACTACCCAGTTTGGCTGAATGTGCAGAATTAGAGGCAAGTAGAAGAGGAAAAAGGCTACTATATACTGAGCATTACTATGTACTAGCCATGCTCCTGTTGTTGTTGTTGTTATTTGCCATCGAGTCAGACTTGACTCATAGCGACCCCCTCTTGGGTTTCTGAGGCGGTATCACTAGCTAGACCATTGCATTATGTCTGTCCCTCAGCATTCCAGTGAGATGTGGCAACTTCTGCCCATTTTACAGATAGAAAATGGAGGTTTAGGTAGATTACATCATTTGCTCAGGGTCCCACAGTGGTTAAGGAGCATGGGCAGGTTTGAATCCCACTCTGTTTGATGCCCCTCATTGTGCCCCCTCAGCATACTATTTGTGCCTTCTGGAGCTGACAGTCTGCTGGAATGAGACATGAATCAAACAATTACCTAAATGCACAATTGCAGGTAGGATAGGGCCGCTGGTTTTAGAAAATAAAAATGTGAACTTCAGATACACACCAAATAACTTTTTGTGAGAATAAAAAGAATCAGCCAATGAAAACCCTATGGATCACAATAGTCCAGCATGGTGCTAGCACAGGACTGGGCAGTATTTTGTTCTGTTGTGCCTGTTGTCAGGGGCTGACTCCACCCAGTTTACAACAACAACGTGACACATACTTGTTTACCTGAAATTCAAATTTAACTGGGCATCCTGTATTTTATCTGGCAACCCTAAATTAGGATGAACACTGTAAGAAGAGAAACTCTTATGAGAGATCACGTAAGAGGGCTTTGACCTTGACAGGGATGGGTTCTCTGAGCAAGTCTCTCTTAAGCAGAGATGAAGGAAGAGCAGGAGTTAGGGAGAGAGTTAAGGAGAGGGGGAAGAATATTTTGGGCAGAGGAAACAGCACATACAAAGGCCCTAAAGGCAGATTGAATATGGCACATTCAAGGGGCTGAAAGAGAAGGCTGGAGTGGCTGGAGCGAAGGGGGAGAGATGAAATGGAGATGTGGGAGGGAAATGGAGACACAGTCAGCAGCCAGACTCATTGGATGAAGGAGGCCGTGTTACGGAGTCTGCCTTTATCCTTAAGAGCTGTGGGACACCATCCAAGGGTTTTAGGCTAAAGGGAGGTCACATTATTGCATTTTTCTTGTGAAAAGATCTCTCTGTTTGGGATGGAGAATGGCCGGAGCGGAGTTACAGTGGACTTGGTAGATTATCTAGTAGATCATGGCCAAATCCAAGTGAAGATGAGGGTAGTTTGAATGAAGCTGGTGTCTATGGAGACAGATAAATGAAATAAAGAGATATTTAGGCAGTCAAATCAACAGGCCTCACTGTTGCATGAGGAGGATCTGGAAGAGAAGGCGAGCTTCTCACTGAGACCTCTCTCTTGTGAGACTAGATGGATGAAGGGTCTATTTGCAGAGAGAGGGGATGTGGGAAGAGGACTAGGTTTGAGGAGGGAGGCCATGAGATCAGTTTCACATTTGAGGTAGATTTGAGGCATCTCAGAGAATGAGTCATTTTGTTAGTTGGGCAGATGGGTCTGAAGCTCAGGTGAGAGGTCTGACTTGAAGGTGAAAGTATAAGCCATCTTCTTCATAAAGGTGGCAACTGAAGCCCTGGATTTGGACAGAGTCTCATGGGGAAGAGCCAAAAAATGAGACAAGAAACCTAGTGGAGGGTAGTAATATTGGTGTGTTTGCATTTGGTGTCAGGAAAATGAAGGGTTCCCATCCAATGGCTAGGAGCTCTGGTGGCATAGTGCCTAAGACATTTGACTGCTAACCAGAAGGCTGGTGGTTCAAACCCACCAGCCAGTCCTGGGAAAGAAGATGAGGCAATTTACTTCCGTAGTGATACTGCCTTGGAAACCCAAGGAGGGGTCGCTATGAGTTGAAATCGACTCAACGGCATATTACAACAACACATCCAATGGCTGCTCATTTCCTTGTAAATGGGGAAGGAAGTTCACCTGCTGAAGGGGTGTGTGTGAGGGGCATCTGCCATTTGAGGAAGCTGGGAAAAGGTGAAGTAGTTGCTGTAGATTAAAAGAGAGAGTAAGTTTGGAGGACCTATTCTTAGTTGGAGATAATAAATTTCCAGTGATGCCAATCAGCCTTGTCATGTGACTTTTTTTTCCCCTGCTTGGGCACAGGCATGCAGAAAATAGAAAATGGGGTTGATCCAGTGTTGGAATTTTGCCAGATAGATGGCAATGAAAAGACTAGAGGGACAAAATATTCTAAGCTGGCTAAAAAGAATGCATATAAAGGAGAGGACTAAGGATAGCTGGAATGCACAGGGAGACAGCTCAGGGGCAGGGGTCCATGGAGGGATGGACACTGGGAAGAGGTAACTGTGGGGAGGAAGTGGGAGGGGAGCTATTGAATTGTGGTAATCTGTGGTCAATGTCATGAGACAAAGTGTATGTGAACTGCTGTATGGAAAGTGAATTTGGTCTGTAAATCTTCACCCAAATCGTAATAAATAAATATATAAATAAGGATAGTTGGAGAGTAGAGAGGACAGCACCCAGAGGTCTCAAGGAAGGTGGGAAGTGGAACAAGTGAGCAGGAAAGAGAAATGTGGGGACTCCTCTTCTCTACTATACTCATAACACTAGTCCCTTCCCCTTTCTAGTATTCCTTCATCTCATCTGTTCCCTGCCTCTCACTCTCCCCACTTTCTCCCTGGTTCTCACCCTGGCAACCTCCTTTTATGGGATCCTCCTCCTGTCATGGTGGATCTAAGCAATACTGCCCAGTCCTGTGCTAGCACCATGCTGGACTATTGTGATCCATAGGGTTTTCATTGGCTGATTCTTTTTATTCTCACAAAAAGTTAATTGTGCATTTAGTTAATTGTTTGATTCATGTCTCATTCCAGCAGACTGTCAGCTCCAGAAGGCACAAATAGTATAAATTTGACCATCTTCAGCACCTAAGACAGGGCCTCAGCCAGGAATGAGAAGGCAGCGTCTAGCTCATCTCGGTATCCCCAGAACCTAGCTTGGTACAGTTTGCATTAAAACCACTTTGTCAATGAGAAGAAGGGAATGGGAGGAAGAAGAAGTTGATAGTGGAGGAGGAAGAGGCAGTGGGAATTGCAGAGAAGCTGAGATGGAGAGGTGGGAGAAAGCTTTGGCAACTGGTACCTTGAGGGTGTGGCATGCCTTGATGGTGGTCGCCAGGGAGTGGCAGTCGTGGTAGGTGAAGAGGAAGAGGTTCCACTCGAAGTTCATGCCACAGTCTTTGACACCATACACCAGGTCTAGCTCCTCTAAGTGTTTCAGTCCAGCCACTAAATCATGCAGCTGGTAGTGGTCGGTGGTGGACTCCTCCATGTCTCCCTCGCTGCCAGAGTCTGACTGGTCCCCTTCCCGGGGCGGCGGCGGGAACCGAACGGGAGGAAGGAACTGATCTACCTGGATCCTCCGCACGTAGTTCCTGCAGAGCGGTAGCAAGTCGAGGATGACCGCGGGGTCCGTGGTGCCCGGAATGAAGTGCTTTAGCAGGTTCTCTAGATGCCGCTCGAAGAACATGCGCTTCCAGCTGCCTCCGTGCCTGGCCACGTGGCACACGGGCCATCGCTGTGTACAGCAGCGGCGCCAGTAGTTCTCATTCTCAATCAGGTTGGCGGTCACAGCTAGAGGCAGGTCCGGGGACAGGTGGTCCAGGACCTTGTGCTGGTGCTCGGGGAGCAGCTGCTTCAGGATAGGGTTATCTTTAGAAGCAGAGGAAGCAAAGTATGGGTCACAGTGTTAGGGACACCGCAACATGGTGCTCTGGGCTGGGCCACTGAGGAGAGAAGACCCTCTCCTGCCCTTGGGGAAGGCCGCAACATGGTGCTCTGGGCTGGGCCACTGAGGAGAGAAGACCCTCTCCTGCCCTTGGGGAAGGCCCAGTCTGAGAGCGGAGATAGCTGCTGCTCTCAGGAAGGCTTAGCCTGAGGAGGGAGACACAGCCCCCAACTTTGGGGTGCTCCCTGCCTTCAGTGGGACACCTCAGCATCCAGTCTGTGGGACCTCCCAGTCTGAGGAGAAATCTCAGGTTCAACCCTCAATTATCACCCGCTCTGATGGGGGAGACAATCTCTAACTTCAGAGCTCCCCATCTGATTTGATTCTTGAATTTCAAAACATTTTTTTGAGCACCTACTATGTGCCAGTTATTGTTCTAGGTGCTAGGGATACAGCAGTGAATGACAACAGAGAAGCCCTATCCTCTTGGAGTTTACATTCCAGTGAGGGGAGACAGATGATAAACAAGCAAGCAAATGAATATATCCAAAGTCAGGTGGTGATAGGTGCTGTAGACAAAATGATGGCCCTGTCCTCAGAGAGCTCCTGTCTAGCAGTCTAGTAGGTGAAGCTAGCAACTCATCTTTTGGAAAGGATTAACAACTACATTTACATAACATTAACATTCCATACAGGATATGGAAGACCCCATCAGAGTGGAGGGTGCTTAAGTAGGGAGGGTTTTCTGGAAGAGGAGAGCTGGATGGTTTGGCCCAGGTGGAAGGGAAGTGTCAAGTGGGGATAAGGACTTGAAGCCTTTGCTCCAGGCAGGCCTCAACCATGCTGTCCACTCTTAGCCCCCCTCCCTGTCAAGATAGGGATAGACTCACTCTGGAAGTTCTTGACGATGTGCTGAATACACAGCTCTGTGAGCTGGGGCACAATGGCCAATGACCACTCAGCGTCCTCAGCGATGATCCGGCGCATCCGACGTGCATTGGATGCATTTAGGCCTTTGGACTTGATGGAAGGTATTATGACTGTGGTCTTCACGGGCTGTGGGGCCGTTTCTGCGGCTTGGCCTGAAGTGGAGGAGTGCTTCTGATCCTGATTTGTATCTGAGGGCTGGTCAAAGACTGACTCTGGCAGTGGTGTTAGGTTGTCCTGCATGGTGGGGGCTGACAATGCAGGGGCAGGTGGCCCCCTGGTAACCTTGAGGCAGAAAACTATTCAGACTGGCAGGTCCCTGATGCTGGTGGGGACCTGGATCAAGAGGAAGAGGGTAGAGGTGTTACTTTGGAGGATCTCAGTGGGCATTTACCAAGAGAAGCAGCACAGTGTAGTGTTTAAGAGTCAGTCTGCAGAGTGGCACAGATCCAGGTACAAATCCCACTGAGTAGCTATATGGCCTTGGGCAAGTTACTGAACCTCTCTGAGTCTCTCAGATGCCTTATCTATAAAATGAGGATAACAGTTACCAATATAATTTTTGGGAGGACTGAATAAAATAATCCATTCAAGGGGGCATAGTACACAGTCTGACACAAAAAGCTGTACAGCAAGGAGCAGCCTCAAAAATAAATAATAAATAAAAATAGTTATTCAGCAATATCAAGAATTCCTGTACTCCCAACACTCTTTCTTAGTTCTTTATGCATATCAACTCAATCCTCACAAAAAGCCACTCATATTATTCCCATTTTTTAGATGGCAAATGGAAGCACACAGAGGTTCATTGACTTGCTCGATGCCACACAGCTTATAAATAACAAGCTTGCATTTGAACCCACTCTATCAAGTTCATGTAGGAGCTCTGGTGGTATAGTGCCTAAGGCATTTGACTGCTGACCAGAAGGCTGGTGATTCAAACCCACCAGCCACTCCTCAGAAGGAAAGTTGGGCAATCTATTTCTGTAGAGATACCGCCTCAGAAACCCAAGGAGGGGTCGCTATTAGTTGGATTCGACTTGATGGCAGTGAGTTTGAGGTTTATTTTATTTATTTATTTATTTTGGTTTTATCAAGTTCCTACTCTTAATCAAACCCTCTACTCATCTGAGGGTAAAGGGTGTTAGGGTGTATTGCTAAAAGATCAAAGTACAATAATCACCACCACCAGCTGCCATCAAGTTGATTCCAACTTATCCATGTATGTCAGAGCAGAACTGTGCTCCATAAAGTTTTTAATGGCTGTTCTGTTCATTTTTAAAAATTGTGATTGGGTGAAAACTTACAGAGCAAATTTATTTTCCATTCAACAACAGTTCATACATATTTTGTTTTATGACACTGATTGCAATCCCACAATGTAACAGCTCTCTTCTCACTTCCTTCCTGTGATTTCCTCTTCCCTGTGTTCTTTCCTATGCATCCCTGACCTCTGAGCTATTTCCCTGTGCAAATACTGCCTTCTTATCTCTCATCATTGATTGTTCTAAGGAGTGTACCTAGTTTGTGTACTTGTTCACTTTGTACACCTGTCTGTTGTTTGGCTGGAAGCCACAGGAGTTCAATTCCAAGTTTGAAAGGCGACTGGGGGCCACAGTCTCGGGTTTTACCAGTATCTATTAGACCAGTAAGCCTGATCTTTTTTATGAGTTTGAGTTTTGTTCCACATTTTTCTATCACTCTATCTGGGGTCTCCTACACTGATCCCTTTCTGAGTGGTTGACATCATCTAGTTCTTCTGGTTTCAGGGTCATGTAGGCTGAGGTGCTCATGGTCCACCAGTCCCTTGAACTAATTGTTTCAGTGCATCTTTGTTTTTCTTCATTCTTCTTTGTTCCAGATAAGGGGAGGCCAACTGTTGCATCTTAGGTGGCCACGTGCAAGCTTTTAAGACCCCAGTTGCTACTTACCAAAGTGGGATGCAGAACAGTGTTTTTGTGTAGTATGTTAAGCCAATTGAGCTTGGTGTACCCCATGACCATGGTCCCGAGCCTATGGGCCCAGCGACTTACTCCTCCAAGATATTTGGCTGTGGCTAAGAAGTTATCATAACTTTGTCCATGTTAGCTCTATTATATATATGAACATTCTTATAACACACACAGATATGCATGTGGAAAAATTGTCTGGATGGCTTTTTGTTTTTTTAAGTAGCTTGCCAAGCCTTTCTTTTGAGGCACCTCCAGGTAGATTCAAACCTCCAACCTTTCAGTTAGCAGCTGAGTCGTGTCAATAGTTTGCACCACCCGGGGATTCCTAAGATGTAATAGAGGACCACTTAATTCAGCACAGCTCACTGCACCAAGCATTTTACATAGTAGCAACTGCCTGACCCAGAGGGTGGGGTTGAGGACAGCATTGGCCAATAGAAATATAATGCAAATGTAATGTAAGCCACATATGTTATTTTAAATTTTCTAGTCCAAAACCAAACCCAACCCATTGTCATCGAGTTGATTCCGATTCATAGTGACCTTATAGGCCAGGATAGAATTACTCCACAGGATTTCCAAAGTGGTAATCCTTATGGAAGCAGATTACCACATCTTTCTCCCACAGAGAGGCTGTGGGTTCAACTACCAACCTTTTGGTTAGCAGCTAAGTGCTTCACCAGGACATCACTAGAGCTCCTTAAATTTTCTAGTGGTCACATTAAAAAAAAAAAAAAATGCAAAAGGAAACAGGTGAAATCAAGTCTATTTTTAACCCAGTACATCCAAAATGTTATTATTTAGATATGTAACCAGTATAAAATTATTAATGAAGCATTTTGCATTCCCTTTTTCATACCAAGTCTTCAAAATCTGATAGCTCAACAGCCATGTGTGACTGGTGGCTACAGTTCTGGACAGCACAGGCTGAAAAAGGAGAGGGGAACCCCTGCCCAGGAAGTCAGCACCTTTCTCTGTCCTTCATTTTGAGGGCTCCAGTTCCAGGCCCCTCCCTATGATCTCCCATTCCAGGCTTCCTTCTAGTCCTCCCAGCCTCCCAGCTTTCCAGACGGTGGAGGCAGCGGGCAGGCGTGGGAGGCGAGAAGGGAGCTAAATCCGGGGCTGAAGACAGAGGATGTCTTGGGCTGGGGAAACCCCATCTGCCCATCCTGCACCCTCAGTGTAGGTGCCTTGGCGCTGAGACCTGCAGCCAGAAGTGGGACTGCCCTACCTTCAGCTCCTCTTCTGGGCAATTTCCCCCTAGAGCTGTTCCCTGCCTGGGTTCAGTGTGTAGTGGCCGGTGGGAAGGTACACGCTGAACTAGCAAAGGCGTTCTTGGCAGAGGGAGGGGACCATATGGTGCTCGCAAGCCCGCTAGGCCTCACAAGGAGGATGAGCCTGGCTGTGTGTGTGTGTGTGTGTGTGTTGTGAGGGAGAGAGAGAGAAGTTGAAGAGAAGAGAGACTTGAGACTTGCCTCTGGGCAAGGGTAGGGGCAGTTTAAGGAAGATATTTATGTATTAGGACACCCCTTATGCAAATCAAATGCAAATGCACAAACAGATTGTCCAGAATTGCAGAATAACCAGCTCATGGTTTTTGACTAATGGCATCTCAGAGATTGGGGCTGAGAAGACTGTCTGATTTCTGGCTTTGCCAGTTACATGTTGTGTGACCTTGGCCAAGTTACTTAACCTGTCAGAGCTTCAGTTTCCTTATCTGTAAAAATGGGATCTCTTATCTGTAAAAATGGGATCTAGCCCTATGAGAGCTGTTGTGAGATTCTGCAGAGATAAGGTCCTCTAAGGGGTGTATGGAAAATGAAGGCACTATGAAGGACAAGGATCTAGGGCTAAAGGCCTGCATCCTGAGAGCTGTCTTGAGATGGTAACTTTGAGTGGTTGCAAGTCTTGGCCTGTCTCTAGGGAAGGTGTGAAGGGCATGATGGCAGTGATGGATTGGGGGCTGAGAAGACAGTAGGACAGAGGGGATTAAAGCAATGGATGGTGGTTTGCCAACCACTGGGCACCCTGGGTCCTCCAGGGTTACCCATGGGGCAGATCCTTCCTCTCTTCAAGATTCTGACCTAATGAATTCCAGGATTCTTCTTGGTCCCAGATGTGAAGCAGAGCCAAGACACCCTGTAGGCCACACCCAGGGAGCAGGAGCAGGCTCTGCAGGGGGAGCCCCAGTTATTGGAGGGTGTTGCCCCAGAGCCAGCTCGCTAGGCATTACTCATAACACCATCCAGCCTCACCACCACAGCAGGTGGTTCCTTATCCTCCTGGAGGCCACACCTTGGGAAACCCCACATGGGGCCAGGCAGTGTGCCCTCTGGCATGGGGCAATCTGAGTTACAATGCCCAGTGTCTCACTCTCTCAAGACCCAGCAGTTCTTCCTTAGGTCTGGTCCTAATTGCTCCTGCTGCTGTTTGGTTTTTGCGTGAATGACCCTGCAGCACTATCCTGGAGCACATTCCAGGGTCCTGAACCCCTCCTCCCCAATCCAAGAAGGAAGGGGCAGAATCTGGCTCCTCATGCCTGCCATGTACATAGTTGGTATAATAAAGAGCCCCTGCCACCCTTCAGCTTTTATAGAAACATCACTACCATGAGGTCTGATGTCATTTTTCAGGTAAAGGTTAAAAACATTAACTTCCTAATAAGGTAGAGCTGACAGTTTTACTTAATCATTTCTTGCTTTTTTTTTTTTCAATAGATAATACAAAAATATTTTTGATAAGCAAATTGCTTACCAGACACAGGGCTAGTACACCCTAAGAAGAATTTTAGTTCCGAATGCATAAATAAATAAATATTTTTAAAAAATCAATAAAATATAAAACAAAAGTATTATTTAAAAGAATTTGAGCAAAACGAACTCCTTGCCTTTCTGTTGCTAATTTTACATATAAAGTGTGAGCTCCTCCCAGACAGGTTGCCCAATGCCCACCACTCTCTTCGCTCTCCTCCTACCTCTCTGAGTACTCTTTTTCTGAACACCCTGGGGAGTCCAATTCCTCTGGGAAGATCTTGACTCTAATTAAAACTTGGAAGTGGACAGCTGGGAAGACAGAAAAAGGACTGGGGAGGGAAAGGAGGCTACTGTAGCTTTGCTCCAGGTGTGAGCAGTAGGCTAGACCGGGACCAACTTCAAGGATAGAGGGAGTCCAAAGGACTGTTTACACGGTGTACCTTGTACCCTGAACATGGCCCTCTCTCAAAACTCTCACTGCCATCAGGCTGATTTTGACTCACAGCAACCCCCTTTGGCTTCTGAGGTGGTAAATCTT